TTAGGTTACTTCCAGTTCTGTATTGCAGAAAAGCCTCTTATTATCCGCCAGTGTTAAGTGGATAAATATGGTCGTGTGGAAAATTCATCCTATTATTTGCATTTATCCGTGTTACTTTCTTTTACATAAATTGGAGTACATTTGTTGACAACATTGCAGACAATAAGATCAGTGATGCCTGTCCTCACTTCGCTGCAGATGAGAGAAATTCTACTCTTGTTAAAAGAAGCTACTACATACGATGCCAGTACTTTAGTAATTTTTACCAAAGGTAACACCATCATAATAAGCCATGTCAACTGAAAAAAAATACATTTGTTAATGCTTTTAATATAACTTGTTAATTGAAATAAGCTCCTTTGCAGTTATGTATTACGTATAGAGGAGTTGTTTTAGCATTTCTCAATGCAGTATCTAATGCCACACCAATAAACATTGTTTTTAAGAAAATATGCCTTCTCACTTGTATTCCTTTATCTCTGGAAGTCGATTCAGTTTTCACCTTCCTGTACCAAACTTCTTTTCTGGCATCTCTTGCTCCCACATGCTTGCATTGTCGTTTTTTTCAATGGCGTCTATTTGTGTCATGGCAAGAATAAAATATAGAGCTTAATTACACCTCTACCTAACCTTTTCTCGCACCTCTTGCTCTCATATGGAATTTGCACAGCTTGTTTGATCTGTGTGTGTTTCGTTTACGACAATTAACTACCTCGTTTGTTCGCTGTCCGATATTCCTCAAGGACCCAGGACGCGTTCTCTGCGATATTGACTTGTTTGTCTTTATTTTATTGTTGCTCTGCTCATTCACCGGGAAACTGGCTAATTGGGATCATCTGTGGAACAAACAAAATAGACCCAAACCTACGGATTGCATAAAATGGAGCCTCAAGTATGATATTTTTTGTCAATAGCACACGACAATTCTGTTTTACTAAGTGAAATAATTTTCAGCTTTCTACATTTGTATTAAACCACCATTGTGGTCACTACATCGCGCGCTTTCAGATGCACTTCTGCGGCCGTCTGGAACGCTCTTCCTTCCAACATTACGAAGCCACTGAAGCTTTGTGCTTTTAAATCCAGATGTCAAACTCATTTCTTTGGAAATGCTTTTTGCGTTTAGCTTGTTGTCCTTCCCCCACCCCTCCGATTAGCGCGGTTGGCTACGTACGAAGCGAAAAGAAATTCAACGCACGTGCATAATATCCAAGGAGTTCCACGCATGCTTTTCAAGCACAACACGGGGCAACTAAAATGGTTCCATTTGCACGCACGTCACTCTCAACCGCACAGCCCACGCCCAGGGACCATCGGCTCGCCTCGGGGTCAAGTTGACTTCTGAGGTTTTGCACGAGACGCCTGATCATTTCTTGCTCCCCTGTGGGTGGTAGGCTTGCGAGAAATAGAGGAGGATGGGCCGAGTGGGGGGGTGGCAGCGGCGGGGAGTGCACGTGGGGGAGTTGACCTTCATGCCCGCTTGCTGGAGACCGGACGGTCCGTGGCTCGTTCGCGTTCCGTCATGCCCACCACAGCCGGCTGGGATCTCGTCCAGTGATGCCGGGTAGCCGTGGTACAGCACAATTGCTTCTGTGCACCTACGCTAAGCTCGTTCGCCCGTTTTGATGGCTCTGCTGCACGAAACGCCCCGATGCTTTGCGAGGGTCAGTTTGACTCGCGCGTCCTTTCGGCTGCCGTTCGTGACGCCCGCTGACGCTTCTCTGCACAAAGCCCGCCGACACGGCTCAACTTTGTCAATGGAGACTGTATTCATTCAGTGCGGGAGAATTCACAATAGCACATTATTGTGAGATGAATAAAACATGTATACATGTAAAGTTCCACATGTTTTTGAGGAGGATTGATGTAATGTATAGGTGTCGGTGACTAATTGGCAATGTAAAAAACTGGCATTGCCTTCCAGTCATGACTGTTAACCATGCTTTCCAGTAGAATAACCTATGAGAGGGAACTGGTTAAGATCATAGGGACACATTTTGAATACTAGAATTTACCATGATTCCCATATGTCGTCATTCCAACTCGTGATAATTGAGGTAATACGAGTTGTACATTTATAAATGCACTTACAGTGTACTGCAGTGCTTCTGCAAGTCAGTGTCATCACTATTTTTAATAGAATAATGATTGAGGCATCATTACAGGGATTGACGCACTTAATTTCTGTGTAAACATTTATTAAATGTCTGATAATTTTGTTCCATCAAATGGTCCCGCTTCTTTGATGTCCGCAGTTATGCCACCTGGTCAAGGAGCTTTAATTTTTGTCATTGTGTGACGGGAAGTGGTTACTTCTGTAAGCATGACGTCTGTCACTTCCTCCCTTCATCTGAAAAATGCTTTGATTCTTGGGATATAACGTTTTAATAGAGATCTGCTTCAAATTACTGAACTAACTTTAAGATTATATTCTATAATGAGATATGACTCTATCATTTTCCCTAATGGCTACCATTTATTTCTAATCATTCGCCATCTTGCTGCTCTAATGCTCCAATTCGTCTGCTATGACATCTTCAATCATCTCTGTCCTGCTTTTTTCTGATTTCTCGTTCTGCGCCAAATAGTTTCGCTCGGTGGATATCAATGCAGGCATCCGAGCTTTCACAAACCTAGACCTGAAGAAAAAGTATTTTAACATCTAGTAAAGCCATTATTAAAAATGCAACAGCTCCACTGAGGATGTATGACTCATGTTGCAAAATACATGTGAGAAGCGGAGTCCGACAAGAAGGACACTCTTTCACCATGGTAATTCACAAGGGCATGCAGGAATGTTTTCTATAAATATATAAAAAAAATCCTTTGAAGAAATACAGGCATGCCATTTAACCAACTCAGATTTGGTGCAGACATAGACATGGAAACAAGGAATGGCTATTGACTCCAGAAAATGTATTCCGAATTCAATGAAGTGAGTGGGGCTTTGGCTGGACACATTTGCTAGAAGAGGTGATCACCAGTGTTCAAGGTTAACAACAAAGTGGCACTTGGGATTTACGGAGCGAGGAGATCGGCTTGTGCGATGGCTGCATCGAAGAACTGTGAGAGGTCGCAACAGCTTGAGGGAACGTTCAATCCAGCAGTAGGTTGATCATGGCTGTTGATATCGGTGCACGTAGAAAAATATACAGTGCGCCTTATTGAAACACATTCCTGCGGAGGGAGCTGGTAGGAACGTTAGGTTGCTCGATCAATGGCCAGGGTCAACGGCGGCGTGGTGTATTCCGTAAATATGGCCGACTGTGAGGGTGGGCACAAACTGGCGTGAGTAGGTTAAACGTTGAGTTTTATAAGGGCACCACGGGGTGACCAGCCCCTCCCCACCCAGCCCCACCCCTCTCACCCCCCACCCAGCCCCACCCTCCCCACCCAGCCCCTCCCCACCCTCCCCTCTCCACCCAGCCCCTCCCCACCCTCCCCTCTCCACCCAGCCCCCCCACACTCCCCACCCAGCCCCTCCCCACCCTCCCCTCTCCACCCAGCCCCACCCCTCCAATTTTTGGATGCACGACGGACGGACACAATCCCCTTTGGGCTGATGTAACCAGGAGGTTCCTACCAGTATAATAACAATTTACATTGCCAAAGAAGTACATACGGAATACAGGTAATCAGCAAAGTGTTTTAATAAAATATTCTCTTTTTTTAATCAAGTTTACATTAAATATGGGTAAGACAGTAGATTCATTAACAAGTGCTTTATTTTAAAACACTTAATATGAAGAAACGTAATTACAAACACGCTCTTTCAAGCTAAGTAACATCTGATAAAAGTATCTGTGCCATTTCTTATACAATCAAAATGTGTTTATAAACAGGATTTGCACTCAGAAGTGGGCCACTGATATGTACAATTTCATATGTAATAGACATAATTATGCCACTGCTGTTTAGTTATTACCATATACTCTGGATAATTAAATGCTCTGGAAAGTAAGACACTCCAAACATGCCCCGGTCAATAAAATTATACAAATCCCTGACAGATAATAAGATGAATTCCCCCCTCAACCTTTAATTTAAAATACAGAAAAACGTGCATTATGATCTGGAGAATACGGTAATAATCTGTATGCAGTGCTATGCAAAATTAAGATACACACTCTATTCCCAAACCAAAGCGTTCAACTGTATATTCAAAACAAAATAATGCACTCTGCACGGAACATGCGATATTCTACAACAATATAGTACTTGGTATTCAAATAATGTATGGCTTTGTTAAAAAAAATCCTATAGTACAGAATTTTACCCTGTATATGTAAGATGTGTGCGGAATGCATATGCTTCACATATTACTGTTAGGTATATCTACTTACACGTAAAACAAAATTAATTAGCGCACGTTCTACGTAGGTCACCTTTATCGGTCCTCATTTATGAATTCAAATTAAGTTTATATATTTTCTCTACTTTGGCATTAATGTAATGTGGAATGACATCGACGTTCAGTTCACTCGACGGCGAACGCATTTGCACTCGGGGTAGAGCGTAGCACGCACGCGTGTGTGTGGGGGGGGGGGGCAGGGGGGGAGGCAGGGGGGGCAGGGGGGGGCAGGGGGGGAGGCAGGGGGGGAGGCAGGGGGGGGGGGCGAAACCCTCCTCCGCTTTTTGCCTGCGGAGCAAACCTCACGGACGCGGCACCGCACATTGCCCGCGGGCAATGCGCGCTCGCCAACCCGCCCGCCTGCCCTCCCGTCACTGGGGCACAGCGGAGCGACGGATCGCGCCGGTCACACCGCTCCGCATCCTTCTCCACCAGTGGGTCTCTCTCTCTCTCTGGCTGCAGAGAGAGCCACTGGTGCGTGGCCACGTAGAGATGAGATGCGGGTGAAGACGACGACTCCGCGTTCGCCACGCGCCCTCTGCACCACCAACCCCTACCCCCCCCACCCTGAAACACGCCTGGCGCCGAGCAATGAGTGCCAGATCTCCTACCAATGAGGGTGGAGGGGATGCAAGGATGTAAGCCCCCCCCCCCCCCCCCCGAAAACCCTCCCACCCCACAACTTGCTGAAGGCTCCGTGTTGTAATTTGCAAGCCTCATTTGAATACAGTCGGTGGTAGTTGGATATGGCTGTACAAAAATGCACGTGGTTTTTTTTTTTACAATTAAACGATGGGTTTCACAGCCCTTGTTCATATACATCGGGGACGAGAGCGTGGAGCAGTATGCACAACAGGCAAACGCAGATCGTATCGTCACTCGTTCTGTTTGGCATTTAACATGTCTTTAAAAGTTTGTTTCACACTCTGAGGTTGTGTATCCCCTCCCCCTCTTCCTTTAAACAAGGTCAATGCTACAGGGCTGCCGAGCGCAGGCAATACCTACAAGTGCAGGAGCTGAGTACGGCTGGCTCTAAACCGAGATTGTCTTTCAATCTGAGAACAAATTGATGGCGCTGACATGAAAAGGCGTGCTTGCTAAACCGCACTCATTCAGCCGTGAAAAACTGAGATTTGGAAAAATGCCGTTAAAAAAAAACCCATCTTGAGCACAAGGTTAAACGGGGATTTGGCTTGTCTAAACCGCGTGTAAAAGTGATGTTGCGTGTTGGGGTCTTTTTTTCATATCCATTTTGCCACGACACCCACGACTTACCATGCGAGTGTTTGTGCTTGGATTGGGCAAAAGGGGCCACATTTTCTTCGTAACAAAGTGTTTCACGCGATAACGTGACTCACATTTATCCATGACAACGTGAACAGTTCGGCGTAAAAAGTTACGGACCAGAATTTGTATTGTAACAAATATTGCTGTGTTTATACAAGTCGGAAATAGTGTGAAGATTACGCAGTTGATGTTGTAACACCATGAGGGTAAATCGTTAAAGAAATTTACGTATGCCCAGGGTCTTAATTTGTATGTGATATGCAAGAAGAAAAGAGAATCGAATCCCACAAAACCACAAAAGTGCTTCACTTACTCCATCCACTTGGATCGACTTAAAGCCGTTTATCTAGAAAGTGCAGGCATCACGTTGTGGTTTAGGTGGCATTTTGTGAATCGTGACCCCCTTTTTTCAAAACTTCTATAACAAGATTCTGAATATAGAAAAAATATATAAATATATATTCATATACAGTACATGTGTCCCGGTAGGGGCTGGGCGGGGGGGGGGGTATATGTCCTTTGGCTGGGCCCATCTTCTCTGTGTTTGTTGGAGCCACGTGTCCATTGCCCAGGGCAGCCATCGAAGGGAGTCGGGGCTTGCCAAAAACACTCGGCCGTTTCCTCCTTCACGCGGATCAACGCCAATTGAACTCGTCTCTTCTTTATACATCGGTGTCGTTATTTGGCTGAGCTTCGGCTCACCGTCTCTCGGCCACCCTCGCAGGGCCTGTTTGCTCGTCAACAGTTTTCAAGTCGTCAAATGGGGATCGCTAAACCCTCTCGGATTCACTTGCAGCAGATTTGCATTTTCCCTCCGCATTGGCTCTCCACAAACAACGGATCCACCAGGGCCACCTTGGCAGAGATGAATGAGTGGATGCAATGTAGCACTGCCACGAGGTTGGGAAACTCCAGCTCCTGAAACAACAAGGTCAAAGGTTACGGTTAGAAAGGCACAGTCCTGCAATGACTTATTCGTCTTACTGCTGGCGGATGGGCCTCGGAGATATTCACACGAGACACAGGAAGCACAAACCCTCCTCCACCATATTGTGTCAATCCGGTGGAAAGTGGTTATAATGAGGGTATTAATTTGGGGTCTCTGCACCCCGCCCCCCCCCCCCAACAAAAAATAAAAGAATGCATATCTTGTAAAAGGTAAAGTGTGATTTAATTGATCATGCAACTGCTATCGAAAGGTCCTCCAAAATATTATTGAGCCCAACTAGAGGATACTTGGCCTACTTTTCTACCCTTTCACGTTAGCCAGATATCTTGTAGGTGGGAGTGCCCACACTTGCTACGACCGCACGCGACCTGCCAATCGACTAACTCTAGTGAACCCTTTTATACTGCCGAGCGGACAGAGGCGGTGGCATTTAAGAAATGTGCCCATCGTGTCAACTACCGTGCCAGGAGATTGAACCCGCATCATCTGCATGTTAAGTCGAGTGTGCTAACTATTATAAGACAGCAGGGATACCCTGAGAAAGGATTATATATATTACATGGAAACATTTGTAATTGTTTAATTTTCTTTGTAGTTCACGTAGTTTTGTTAACAATTATATATTCACGTACGTGTAATTAATATACGGCAGTATGGCAAGTTGGCAGTAAAACCACGTAACAACAATTGGATAAAATGTTTCATACAGAAATTCAGAATTGTATTACAAAATGCAGGATGGAACGCGTTAAAATGTTTTTGCCTCCGTGGAGATGGAGTGGTGAAATTGTTCCGTTGCGGAACCATGACGAGGTGCTGTCCATTTGGTGAGACCTTCATCCAACAGTGGATTGATAATGGCTGATCATGATAGTGATGAAAAAGCAGAGTTTTGAAGTTATCCATCAGTCATATGAAGCAAGTTCAAGAGTAATAGTGAGCATTCATAAAGCCATCTTACCTTTGTTTCTATCAATCTAGGGTCGTTTTTTTGAAAAAGAAACTTTATTTTCGATTTCCCATCATCAGATGAACCTTTCAGCTGGCAGAATTTGTACCGCCAAAATACTTGCTGTGGAAACAAACAATGTTTATATTTTTATATTTGTAATATAACATAGTATAACTGGCTCTCTGGGGACTGAGGTCAAGGCAGACATGTGAAAAGTTGAAATATGTGAACATCTAGATTTGAAGTTTTCGTGACTGCAAGGATCCATACTCTTTGGTTCTTTCGGTAAGGTCACATAGATGAAAAATAAAAATAATAAAAAATAAAATGAAAATAAGTCAATTAAATCACGATGACGGAAGCATGTGTTGCCTCCGAAACGTCGTGATTTAATTTAGTTATTTTCATTTTATTATTATTTTATTATTATTTTTCATCTACGTGACTTTACCGAAAGAACCAAAGAGTATGTGAACATCTGTAGAAAATAACGGACTGTGCACAAACAGGTTACTGGGCAAACATGAAGTGCAAATCAATTTAAGCATGGGGACATTGTTTAGTGTGCTGTAGAGGTAAAAGGATGTACGCAAAATTTTGAAGATATTACTACATGTTTAAAGGTCTGATTTGTGAACGTCTGTAGAACATGACAGTTGGGTGTGGACGGTTAATTGGTCAGGGCGGATAAGTGACGGTCGGATTTGCAACACTCGTGTACATTATACTAATAGCGGTTTTCCCCTTTTTTCTGGCAACAAAACTGACACCTTTTGCAAGGAATCATGCTTACATTAACCACAATACTTGCAGTCAAATGCAAACAAAAAACAATACTCTGATAATGTATGCATTGTCTTTGAAACTGATTGGTCCACACCAGAGACAGCTTTCTTTAGAGCCTAGTCTCATATGATGTTCGACCAGATGACGCCAAAAGGCGCACAGTTCAAAAACAACGCACTACTCGTGTACATTATTTTGCGAACACCTTTAGAAGTCACCTTGGAGTTGGCTTCAAAACAAGCAAATCCCAGGTTGAAATCTACTGTGAGCCCAGTCGCGTGACCACGCCATACGCAGCTGTAGGTTTTGCTCTGAAAAGAAATGTTCATGCGCAAAATTCCCATTAAACTGTAATCTAATTTTCACAACGCAAGATCGATACGAATATCGCGAACAGATGTCGGAAGATATTTCTGGTGTAACATATAAACTGTAGGACAAATCAAAGTTAGGTTTGTAAAACGACCGTGAAAGTCTGCTATGCTTTTCACGAAGAGCCCACTTCTATTTACAACCTCATTAAGTCTACAAAGACGCAACATTTGTTTTTATAAAGAAAATGTGATGTGAGTACTAATGTAACCCAATGAAATATCTACATCTTTTTCCAAATGAGGATTGTAGATTGAATTATAATCGTTAACAGATATTGACATACGCTGTGTGTTTTTAAATGATTAGCTGCTAGTTAAATCAGATACGGACATCTCCATAACGTTAATTGTGGCGTCGTTTACATATCATTGCTGCCAAGGTTTCAGAAATGAATGTATGCAGGATGTGGTCAGAGGTTAATTGAATTGAGAATGCACATTTGAATTCTGTACACGGTTATTGAATATGAGAAATGGTGTTTCATTAATGCCAGTGTCAACATGGTGTGCAGGTGATTGAAATGCGTTATTAATTTAATAAGATAAAAATGTAAATTCTGCAGTGTTTAAGAGCAATTTAAAGTACGATTTTTTTATTTAGTAAAATGTTAAATGTTTCTTACCATTTTGGCCTCAAGTTATGCACTCGTGCATGAATAATGTATGCTTTATTTAATGAGCATTCCTTCAAGGACTGCTGCTTGGCATTCCGCCTTCTCTTGGCATTGGATTGAGTGCTACCAATTAATGTTGAAAAACCACAAATATTAGGACTGCACAAAAATCGTGTCCGGCGTAGTGCCCTCGTGCTTTTCACACTGCGTCAATCAAACCATGCACATTTGTTATTTGCGCCATTCTCACAGCGCAAGGCTAAGGCGAAGGTGCGATGCTTCACAGATGACTCCATTGTGAGTCGGCAGGAGTTTCACAGGAGGGGCGATGTTGCTATATGCAATAGTAATTTGCAAATCACTTTCAAATTTGTCAAATTTGGACCGTAACACTAGCGCTCATGGCCTACTATTTTTTCAAATCAAGTCACGTGATCTCTAATGTCTACTAAGGGGCAGATGGGGCATGTTTATGGTTAATGCAAGCACAGTATTCACCAGGGTGGCCGCTGGTTGTGATTTGCGAACTTCTGCAACAAGCGGCAAACATGCTCCTACTGCTTGGTCATGTCACCACTGGTGTAAATGTGTCATGTCTAGCCAACGAAGAGAATGATATAACATGAAATGTAGCTAACATTCGTGCTGCATTAAGGTTTGTTAGTATTCACCAAGAGTTTCCCGTTGTCTCACTCTCGCCAGCATTTTATGTGGCCAGGATTGCAACTAGCAAATGCCCACTACTCGTGAGCCGAATGAAAACAGGGTAATCTATTTGAAGAGCAATATGACACCTCTGGAACATTGACTGTTGTGATGATAATTAACCACTCACTTGCAGACATTCAATAGCTGCAACATAGTGTCTGTAATGACTTTAGATTGCACCGATTACGCGAAGTGTATACTTTGAGTACTTTTGCAGTGCTTGAATATATTTTACTAGAATCATCACCGATAAAATTGGTCTGTAATTACATACACCGTGATTTTGCCAGTATGTGAGTATGCAAACATATAATACAAATGCTTTGTTTTGTTACAATCAAAACTATTGTGAGATGTTTATTTTAATTGTACGGCAAACATTTCCACACTCTAGTAAATTGTGCGGTACAAAGCACGCAAATTGTATCTGTTATCTGGGCGAAAACGCAATTGGAAGTCTAGCATATAATGGTGTGCTTCATTTTTCGATTTAAAGCTTTCGTGACTGCAGGGATTCATCTTCTTGGTTCTTTCGGTAAAGTTACCGAAAGAACCAAGAAGGTGTGCTTCATGTTAAATTCTGCAACGTGTCGAGAATGGGAATGTAAACTGCACATAATATTTCTAGATTTGAAGCTTTCGTGACTGCAAGGATTCATACTCTTAGTTCTTTCGGTAAAGTCACGTAGGTAAAAAATAAATAAAAAAATAAATACATTAATTAAACAAATAAATAAAACATTATTTTATTTTTTTACCTACGTGACTTTACCGAAAGAACTAAGAGTATGCACATAATATACTCCATGAGAATGCCCATATTGATCAAAAGTCCCCTCCAGCATGTTCCACTCGAGGCAAGTGTACACTGCATCCGTTCGATCTGCAACCGAGGCAACGCGCTTGTTAAATAACCGGGTTTATTGCCGATTCGAATGTTTTGAAGTTTGATGAGCACGGTCGGAAGGTACGAGGGGAGCCGATCTTGAGCGACCGTCACCTAGGGGAGCAGAAGCGCGGAGGACCACATTGCGTGTGCTAGCGTACCCCGACTCGCTGCACCTCGGAGAACTGCGCCTGCTGATACGCCTTCTCCCAGAGTGCGATGTCGCCCGCCAGCTCCGTGCTGAAGTAGTGGCTGTCACCCGTGCCAGTCAGCACGCTGAAACAGCACGGCCTCATGTCGCGCAGGTCAACCTCCTGGGGAAGCCTGCGCGTGAGTGCCTCCGACTGCCGCCGCTCATTCGCAGCCAAGTAAACCGAGCCACAAAATAGCGAACAACGCGGCAAGCCTTGCGTGCTTGCTTGCGTGCTTGCGTGCTTGCTTGCTTGCTTACGACCGTGCAAATCTTTCGGTCGTTTTTTAACCCACTCCCCGTGATCCAATCGAGCTGACATTTTGCACACAGACTCGTTGTGCGTGACAATAAATTTTCGTGTAAAATTTTTCCAAAATTTTTCCAAAATTTTACACTGTTTAGGGACATTTTTTTAAATATTTAATTACCAATTGCTTAATGCTGGCAGACAATCATCTGACCCATAGGTGGTAGCCATCTCAAGCCAGAGGACGAGAGGACTCTAGCCGCCACGCATATAAAGGATTTGGAGTGAAAAACTTTGTTTTTACGGGTTAATTTTTTTCGCAGCGTTTGGCGCACTATTGTTGCGTCGTGCATTTCTTTTTGCCGGCTCATGGAATGGACGCAACAGTTGGGGCAGACCCACAGACAAAGATGCGATGCTGCTTCAAATCAAATACATGATTTGTTAATCTTCTACTATTAGCAATAGGTCACAGTGGCCTTGTTGTGCATTTGACACTGGCCTCCAACCAGCTCACAGCTATAATTTATTTTAGCACGACGAGCGTGCGGTCTGCCAATAATAATCAAAATACACTTTAAAACAATTACACAGAAATCAATTCAGACATTAGCAGTAATATATTCCATTGTTACAGGATATTGGCTTAAAATGATACATTGTCTGTGAAAGGCCTTCATCAAAATTAAAAAAATATATGAAAAATGGTTAAACGTTTACATTATGGAATATTGCTTTGCAGAATTCCCACGAAACACTTATGTGGTTATACGTGTTAACCTCTGCTTTGTTTTAAAAGGTTAAATTAAGGGTGCAACTCTGCAATGCGTTGCAATCTATAGCTCATGTGACTGCTGGTGGAAGGGCCTCGCCTAGAGGAAGCTCAAAAGAGCCCTCGAGATCTATTTTGTCCTGCTCTTCCACAATGGTCAGACGCCTTAGAAGAGGTGGTAGTACCTACACTTTAACCCACCACACGTGACTTGCTGATCAACTGCCCGTGTTGTGTTCCTATTTATACTGTGGGTAGACAACCGAGCATGAAACATTGTTGACAAATGATACCATATGCTCAATAGTGCAGTAATTTTATTGAAATTGAGAATTCGCTATTACATTTTGATTTAAAGCTTTCGTGACTGCAGGGATTCATATTCTTGGTTCTTTCGGTAAAGTAGAAGGGAAACGATAAAATAATAAAATAATAATACAAATGTTTCCCTTCTACGTGACTTTACCGAAAGAGCCAAGAATGCGCTATTACATATTAACATGTAGATGTATCGTCTAATGACAGATGACAATGTTAATTTCGATAGAACATCAAGAAAGTATCCATAATAGAGGTTTTTGGGTTAGATTGCTTAAATATAAATGTGCTCTTAAACCCGCCACCCGAAAACCTCTATTATTGATAATATTGGTCGCGAAAGCTTACGTGTTAAACATGCACATCATATATGTCCATCGTAACCTTGAACTATGACCACCAAGGCTTGGAAATCAATTACGGGTGAAGATACTGTGTTCATTGACCATCGTTGAAAATGCAGTCAATATCGGTCCCACTGATGGCAGGAAAATAGAAATGGATATATGAGTATATGCTCACACCGATCACCTTTGATGGAGAACTACAATTGATTTATTGCATCCATTAATCGATGCTCAGAACAATCAATCGTAATGCGCTATTACATTATTTATTAAATACATTTACAACATTGTGTGCACTGAGATAGGATATAAATTGCGCATTCGATTGCCATGTTAAAACACATATATATATTTGTACTTCAGACTCTGAATCTATCCTGGAGCTATGAAGCCCTTTTTCCACTGATATCCAGTAAGGGCCGGTCAGAAAGGTACAACAAACAATACAAAACACGACGGCATTGCAAAGTATACAGGAAAGGTAATGAAATAACGAAAAATAAATAAAATTAAGTATGTAAAAAAAATGCTGAACTGTGCAACACCTGCAGCTGTTACGCACCTTGTGGGTTTTCAGAAACGTTTCGCACAGATCGTACATTTTCTCTCCTCTCGCCCAGTCACATAAGCTGAGCTGCGTTGACACGAAAAAAATAAGATGTCAACACTTTGGCCAAAATAACATGAGGTTAAATGATTACTCCGTACATTTCCAGCACCTCCCTCCCCATCCCTCCCCAAATATTTAAACTCTGCCACGTAGTAGATTATTTAAACAGTTCTTAATGGATGTTGCTTTCTACGCTTGTGCGGACTACTCAAAACATCACACTTCGTTACAGGTCAAGAAATGGAATGAAGGCAAAAGCATTTCAAACATTAAGTTGTATCTCACATTTTTTTTCCCCACCAGCTTCAGAAGCACAATTTCTCTATCATGGAGTAATGCTCTTGTGGATGCCTCATTTATCTGATTTGTCAATTCGATGAATGATGTATTGTGCTGCTTTCTTTGGTGCTTGCGCAGTTAGTTCATCTGGGATCCCTTGATCTGTCCATTACATCTTTTTTTTTACGGCAGGCCTCGTAAATCTTTCTGTAATGATTTCTCTGATGGCTCAGTGGATGGAGGAGCTCATTTTTGTTAGCCCATGACCGTCCATTCATTATTATGTCCTGCCAACACAGGGGAGGGAGGTGGTGGTGGTGAAGCTGTCCTGTTTATAGGATAGACAAGGTGGTGCCACTTACCGGGGGTCCCGAGAACAGATAAATGTTGGGGCCTCTCAGGGCCAAGAAACGTGACTGGTAGTGCTGGCCAAATTCTGCATCCTGAATTTTCTCCTCCACCCAGCCCATGTGCACAATCTAAAGTAGAATCGGACATGCCTCCAATTAGGTATCGAACCGCACATACCTATGTGACGCCGATTAGTAAGGTTGGCTACATGTGGAGCGAAATAAGTTCAACATACGTACGTAGTCCACATTATCACGCGGTTTCAGAAAATATTGTGCAATGCATCTTTGCATATAAATGACATAGGTAGCTTCTGTGACTTTGTTTTTGTAAATTTATGTTATAGGAAATGACAAAGATTTGCGCAGGCTGTGAACGTATAAAATTCATTGCCAGCAATTTCATTTTTTACTCTTTCATGTTGATAAGGAAAATTGCATCTGAGAATAACTCCGTTGTTTGAGTTGAATTAAATTTAAAAGTATGGTTGCAAGAAAATTATTTAGCCCAGAGGGGAAGATTCTTAACTTTCAAATCAATTTTTTATAAATATAAAACGTACAGTTAACCCTCCTTTGTTGTTTTAATGAACTTACCCTATAATTGGAACCTATAGGGAAATGTTATAAACTTGCTAAGGCATTCACTTTACAATTAAAAAAGATTTTCACCATGCCTTTTAAAGGTCATAAAACGTTTGCGCGTGTGTAATAAGTATGTTTTGGCCGTAGTGGTGGATTTTGTGTTAAATTTAGATTTGAGCACTGTCTGGGAATGGAATCGGTGAATGTAGTCACTTGCATACATTTTATGTAAATACTTTATTTATGTTCATAACACTAAGTGCTTTGCTCTGACTTCAACATTGTTTTAATGGAGGGCCACATTTCAGTTGACTGTAAATCATGGTGCAGGTGTACATCATGTTGGACGTGACTTGATTTGCCAAAGCAAGGACGTTTGATTGTATAAATGCATTGGAAAGAGTAAGTTCAAGAGTAAGTGAAACTAACATGTGTTTGAGTTTGATATGTTCCACGAAATATTCAATCAGTTTATTTACAATTTTCTGACTCTTCAAATTGTTATAATCTGCACATCAATGATCGTATAAGGTTAAAAGGTCCATTCAAAACTGTTGATAATTTAACTTTGTATGACGCCGGACTTTCCAGCCACCTCACTGCATAGTGCAATTTAGAAACATTACCTACCCAACTCTCTCTCTCTCTGCTTTGCAGAAGTACAATTTAGCAAAATATTATCCTCCTGTATATATATATTTTTAATATATGGCAGTGTTAATAATGGTGATGTTTTTATTGGCCGCAATTCAATCAAACCATATAGGCGAGTAAACACCCCCGCCTCTCTGTTCTGTCCGTCTACCTCCTGCTTACCTCACAGCCCATCATGGTTTGGAAGTTTCACGAATCTGCATTGATCTACCAACCCTTGCAGTTGTGAGCTACTTCTTCTCGCCAAATATGTAAAAGGTACAACTGATGTTCAGTATTCAGGCATCTGTTAAAGGTGTCTCTTTCGAGAAAATGGGCAAGTATGGTTAGAGGAGGCCAAAATACCCTCAAGCGGGACACTCTAGAATTTGCTCTCATGACACTTTTAAGGGACTAAAACATATTATACATTTCCAATTTATAGATGTTATTTTGCGTTAAACTTGTAATTCAAAGGCTTGCTTTGGATTGTAAAATTTACGTCTATCTAGTAAAGGCTTCATTAGTCGAATATATGGAAATAAATTGAATGTTTTATGTTATGAGTACTGAAATTCAGTGACTAATGTTTAGTATGACTGGGGAGCAGTGATAATAATGTAATATATTTGCCATTATCTCATCTTTTCCACTGTCCTAAAACATGTGTTCCACCTACAAGGCAAGGCACTTTTATTATAAGTTATTTAAATTGTTTTTTTTAATAAGTACAACAATAATTATAGTATAAACAATTTCAAAGACTTACCTGCTCATATAGTGATAGATTTTTATTGGTCATCCTAATCTGAAACAAAATATAATAACCATGTTTAATGCGAAGCGTTGGAATAATGTAACAAATATTCTTTGGTTCTTTCGGTAAAGTCACGTAGATAGAAAATGTTTAATACAAAATTCAGTGAATAAAAAAACCAAGAATATGTCGACATCATAGACTGCCAATACGCTCACGAGCTTACAAACCAGCCTACAGTCTACATTATAGACTGCCAGTCCACTCACCAAGCTTAATTACCAGGCTACAGTCTACATTATAGAATGCCAATACACAAACTCCGATTAAGAACCAGGCTACAGTCTACACTAATGGTTATTTATTATTTATTATTTTCATTCACTTTCTTTTTTCATTATTCTAATACTATCTACGTGACTTTACTGAAAGAACCAAAGAATTGCTGCAGTGACGAAATTTTTAAGTGAAAATGTAACAAATGTTTGAATGTGTGCATATTTGTTTTTATTCTACTCTGTGGCGCATCATTCAAGGGAGTCATGTTTCCACCAAGAAGCAATCCATTTAACGGAGCTTATAACATATTCTCGGGTTTGATAAGCCTTGTAATCTTAATGTAGTACGTAATGTATTCCAGTCACATAGTCTAATCATGTGCCTTTGTGCAATGTGTGTGCCTGCGTTCCCCTTCGCATGGTAAATCTAGCAGTAGCCTCTATTGCAGCCACAAGGCACGGGAAATAGCATTCGGCCAAAAACACTTACATGCTGCAGAATGAGGTCACCTATTGCAGTGGAAATGGATCTCAGCCAGTCGGCACACTCCTGTATGGAGTAGCATTGCAGAACCCCAGAGCTGATGCCATCCATAGCTATGACTTCAAAAGCATTGGGTCTGCAGAACAGAGAAGATGTTACACAAATTATTTCAAGTGTAATGAGCAACTAACTCTACACTGATATTGCAATGCGCGACACGGTTTTTTTTCGCCAAGAAAGCCAATGGTTGGCACACACGCGTTTTTAATTACAGCCCACTTGTCAGTCCATTGCTGGATGAAAGCCTCCCTATGCTGTGTCGGTCATGGAGGATGATTGACCAGCGAGGGCTGGCGAAGTGGGAGATCCAGGAACAGTTCAGATATCACTCACCACTGACGTTCGCTGTAGGCAGGTTTCGTAGCGCAGTGCACTAACCACAGTGCCATTGCCTCCACCCGTTGCCATCCGCTAAGCTGATACATTACCGAATTGATATTTTCTGAACTATTAACATGAAGTGACTTGAGTTTCCATGAGTTTGAGGTCTATGCCTCATTGTGCTTTATTCCGTTTGTGTCTTTCCCTCTGTCGTTTGTTGACAGGATGTCAGTCGACTGCATTCACGCTGATATTTATAAATGATTGAACGTAGCTCTTAAATGTCAAGTTTTACTTTTAAATGATCGCAAGCGAACGCGGACTATAAAATATACGACTGGCACCTCTCAATCTTGATTTGAAGCTTTCGTGACTGCAGGAAACCATACTCTTTGGTTCTTTCGCTAAAGTCACGTAGGCAGCAGTTTTTAAATCCTTTATATTAAGTTCGCTTACTTGCTTGCTTGCTTGCGTGCTTGCGTGCTTGCTTGCTTGCTTACGACCGTGCAAATATTTCGGTCGTTTTTTAACCCACTTCCCGTGATCCAATCGAGCTGACATTTTGCACACAGACTCGTTGTGCGAGACAATTAATGTTCGTGAAATTTTTTTCTCCAAAATTTTACACTGTTTAGGGAAAACAAATTCAATATTTAATTACCAATTGCTTAATACTGGCAGACAATCATCTGACCCATAGGTGGCAGCCATCTCAAGCCAGAGGACGAGAGGACTCTAGCCGCCACGCATATAAAGGATTTATAGTGAAAAACTTTGTTTTTACGGGTTATACTTGTTTTCTTGCTGTGGTTGTCCCACCTGATGACGATTGCTTGTGTTATGATCGAAACGTCGTGATCTATTATTTTTCTACCTACGTGACTTTACCGAAAGAACCAAAGAGTATGGCACCTCTCATTCTAAAAAATGTCTATTTAAAATTCTGAAGTATTGTACACGAAGATTTATACCACCTTTTATAGTTCTTTCCCAAATAAAGCTGCCTTACCTTAATCCCACCTACCTAGTTGTATTGTTGTATTTTATGTAACGAGGGTACACACGGTTGTTCTCTGAAGTCTTCAGAAGTTTCTCTGTGATGCTAGAAGAGTTAGACAATTTTGGTACTGTGGGTTTTTTTTCCACATCACACACTCATCCATAAAGATAACAACAATTTTAATAGTCAAGTCAATTTATTTTTCGTTCACATATGGCAGCTTTCTGGCACAAATATTACACCCAAAGCACCATCACATAATTAAACATAATAAAATAAACTATTATTTTCAGTAAAAAAAAATTTAAAAGCAAGTTGTGACTAACACTGCAATTTAATTAGCCATAAGAGCCTCTATGATTCGTAACATTTTATTTAATGAAGTTGCTGCATTTGAATGTTTGGCCAATGGCATTGCTGAGTGTTTTTGGTTTGTGTAGAAGGGAACCAGAGAATCGACAGAAACCCCAAGATCCATACAAGAAAGGGACAGTCAGCACTGCAGTTTCCTGACATTTATGCAGCCCACGCCTACAACACCTGGTAAGCCCTGACAGTCACCCATCTAAGTACTAAAATAAACAACAACAATAATAATTGACGGCCGTTTGCCAACCCCACTGCTAAAAAATGTTTTAAAAACCTCCCCACACCGTTATAGTCCTCGGAGTTGTATCACGTCACTAATATTATCCGTGGCCGAGAATTAAACTCAGATCGTCCTGGTTACGGTGCAGTATGTTAACCACTGCACCACCGCTCCATGCCACGTAAGCACTAATCATGCTCCCCAGGCCCTCTGTTCCACCATTGCACCATCGGTGGCCACTTTATTACCCACTCCGCCCCCACCCTCTGGTACCACCTCCCCATGGCAACTCCACCTGGGTCCCCCCTCTCTCTCTTTGCTTCAAAGTCTTCTTTTCAAAAACTTTCTCTTCAAAAAACCCTATTAATTCCTTGCTTTCTCCCCAACACCCCCACTTTTCATATGCAAAGCTGCACTGTCAAACGTGTGTTAGGTTGTGGGTGCTTTACAAACATGAGTCGCTGTTGCTCGGATTTCAAGATCCGATGAAACCAGGTTGCACTATGGGATGAATTGGGTGGAGATGCGTTGCTGGAAAACAGGCAGACATGCACGCGTCTGTGTGTGTGCATGCGGTAGGGTAGCGGTGCTCGCTAGCAGCACTTGCCCCAACCGTCTGTGAAGGCTATACGGGGGATCTTTGCCTTAGAAGCGGCTATTGCGCTGCGCTATGAACTCGACGATTCCCGAGTACGATTCGTGCTCACGGCCAACACCCAGTGACGATTATCTGAGCCGGTCATGGGCCACCCGTAGGTCGACTCAGCCTCAAATGAATACCTGGCGCGGTGTGTAAACATCGCCACGAGGGAGACAAAGGCGGCCCGGCGTGGTGCTGTCCACCCACCAGCCTCGTGTGCCGTGCCAACCTTCATAGGTGCTCGCTCACAGCACTTGCCCCAGCAGCCTGCTAAGGTAATATGTGAGAGGGGGGGGGGTGGGGGTCTCTTTGTGCTCGACTCACCTGAGCTGGTCCGAGCCCGGCGTGTAGAGGGATATCCTGGCCAGCAGCAGGGGAATCGCCAGGGAGTCGCACCAGCGCTTCTCCCAGCGAGGGGTGGCCGACACGGGGGAGGATGGGGATGATGGGGTCTGCTTACAGGGCCATCACACGGGGACGTGCTTGCAATGGAGCCACTGGCTGTAAGCCTTGACTCTCCCCCCCCTCTCCCCACCAAGAACGCCAAGTCGGTCCGTTCGTCACCATCAACCAAGATCGATTCACTGCTGGATGAAGGCCCTCCCGCAAGATGTGGCCATCGTCGACGGTTTTTGCGATGTAACAATCCACCTAGCACCTGTGCACGAGCTGATTTCATCACTCCATCTCCACGGAGGATGTTTTGCAGCCCTTACAATGCTCTGAGTTGTACTCTTTTTTTTGTTAATAAAGTGAGCGTTGTTTAAAGTTCTAAATTGCATGTGAATACATTTTCTTTCTAGTTCAAGAGTTTATACATATCTTTAAATTGCCTAATCAATTATTAATTGTTATTGTAATGAATAACGCCCTTAAATTATTTAAACATCTAAAACTTCCCGGCAAAACTTTTTTTGTTGGCCAACCATTATTGAATTTCGTGGATGCGACTACATTTTCTTTTTTACCAATTAATCGCCAAGATTTACCGGCAAGGGCAGAGAGCAAGTCTGACAGGGAACGACTCCCGAGTTAGAAAGTTAAACGCTGCCGTAAGCAGCGACGCGGTTTGTCGATTGACCCCGAGCGCTCTGCGGCATCGAGACAGATTATATGTTTGTTCCCTCTCGAACACATTTTTATTTTGTACCATCGTAATTAGATCCACCTGAAATAAGTGTCAATGCCAATTTATTGATGCTCTTTTTAGGGTAACTGATGGTGACTGGGCTATGACCGTGGACGAATGCGCTGCGTCGGAGGACCATTTCACTCAGCAGTAACCTCCAGAGGTGTTACCTCGCCGCTCCAGCAATGACATTAACTTCAGGAATCACGCAGTTGCACGATAAATAGTTTGCTTTGTTTACCCTCAGGACATCACCAGCGGAGTCGATTCAACGCTACACCGTACACTTATATAAAAAAAAAAACGCTTCGTAGGAACCACAGCCCCGATTAGTGTTCTATGAAGTTCATAAGTTCAGCTATTATTGCTTTTACCACGAAGCAGATACATTCACGTGGAAGCAAGGGGTGAAATAGAAAATAAAAAATACGCGCAGCCGAATGGTTTTGTGATCACGCATTTGCTCCTGACACCAGCGTTAGCCGATCGACCTCTTGGTTTATTTTTGCCAATGCATCACAAGGGTATCGCGTGGCTCGGAGGACATTAGGGCCCAATGTTCCCATCTGGCCACTCAATAATGCAAGACACCTGGCAATGGATACAATTGCTTACATTCCAAAATGTAACCACTGGAACACAAGGCAGAGGTACTCATTATAAACTTGCTGCACAACTGTTTAATTGAAGGGACATTTTGGACGGAAACTAACGGATAAATAACAGCGCGATATAAATTCGCGAATTTTTGTTATTCATAATAAAGGGTTTTTTTGGCGTTAGATCGCGTTATTTATAAATGTGTCGTAACCCTCCACCACCCGACACGGCCAAACAGTAAAAAATGTGTCACGTTTACCAAAGACAAATAGTTAACTACTTTAGCCGACCTGTGTGTTGAAGAGTAAATCAACATCATTTACAATTTTGAGTACGACGTTTCGCTGGCAATTACATACTTTGAAAATGAAATGAGTATCTGACAAAGGATTAGAGTTTCAAATTAAAACGAAACGCTGTCCAAAAAAGTCAAGCCATGAGAGATTATAACTTTTAAAAAATCCTCTAAACTTCAAAGGGGCTTAAAAAAAGAATGGGGTTTCATATTACACTGTGTTTAATTGATATACAAACGGCTTGAAAATATACCGGCCTTAGCTTGCTATCATTTCAATTGATTTTCATGATTTCCCAAAGGTACCAGCTGGCATATCACAAGATATAATCTGCTTAACTGCGAGCATAACATGGAAGCAGTAGTGTTTCATTGCTTAGTTTATTTTTGTACCTATTAAACGTTTTACTGGACCGTTAAAGTACTGTGAGTTTGCCCAACATGGCTATGAAGATGTTTTTTTAGCAATTAAACATGAACCCGAACAGGTTAAGATGCGGTCTTACAATTCCTTTCTAACGATTGCCGGCAGAAGAGCCTATAATTCGAGGGAGCTCCAGATAGCTTCACTAGATGATATTTTTTTTGGGTCTCCTCTACCACGTCAGATATCTTCAAAGAGTTGAGATTACCCAGACTCTACCCAACCTCATGCGATCTCCCAATTAACGAACGGTGGCGTGCATATTCAAACTGCTGGATGGACAGGGATGTAGGCATTTAAGAAACATACTGCTGTGCCGGAAGATTTAATTGAACTGGAGACCTCGGCGCTACAAGTCCAATGTGCTAACCATTATGCCATGGCAACGTCCTGTGATAACATACAGCGGTTAAATCAAATCTAGCACGAGGGATCACCAGTCTGTTTAAAAAACAAACTACACCCCGCATGCACACAGTGAAGGAACAGCCAAGGTACTTGTTCTTGCACAGGTTGTCGTCTTTGCATGTTCCATGGGCATGCCATTAGGGCTCCGCTACATTACCCTTAATGCTTGTGTGCTTACACTTTGTCACAAGAGGCATTTATTTCCAAGTGTAGCTTGCCGTGTTATTGTTTATTGTCGCATGAGACTTACTGTGTTGGTGGAGTTGTTGTTTAAGTGTAGCCCGCTGTCAAACAGAGGAGAGGAAGCAGTGCTGCTTTGATCACTGGGGATCATCGATGAATCTGCAAAACGGAATGAGCCCCTGACATTAAGGGACCACAAGTCTCCAAAGCATACGTTGATGGCAATAATGTGCTAATTGTCACCTCCATCAGGGGCGTCTAATGAGCTGCAGTTTAAAACCTCAGAGACGGCATGGCAATCAATAAATGTCTCGTGATGTTCACAGATTTTTTTTTTTTTACAAAGGTAAACTTTGTAAAATGTGGACATTGCTCGTCCGAGGTAGAAATCCCACACGCGGTGGTTTACTGCTGGCATCTATAAATACACGACATAATGATCGTGGCTCGCGTTGTACAAGCGTGATTCATACCATCGTTGGGATAATTGGCAGAGAAAACAAGAGTGTTTTTAAATCCTTTATATTAAGTTCGCTTGCGTGCTTGCTTGCTTACGACCGTGCAAATCTTTCGGTCGTTTTTTAACCCACTTCCCGTAATCCAATCGAGCTGACATTTTGCACACAGACTCGTTGTGCGAGACAATTAATGTTCGTGAAAAATTTAAATATTTTACACTGTTTAGGGAAAACAAATTAAATATTTAATTACCAATTGCTTAATACTGGCAGACAATCATCTGACCCTTAGGTGGCAGCCATCTCAAGCCAGAGGACGAGAGGACTCTAGCCGCCACGCATATAAAGGATTTAGAGTGAAAAACTTTGTTTTTACGGGTTTATTTGTTTCCCCATATATATATATTATTATCAAGTAACAAATGGTATGAAACAATAAAACAAGTGGTATTACTCACAACAACTTTACAGGCCTATATATTAAAGGCGGCGTTATTGCAAGTCAATGAAATGAACACGCTGCAAGTAAATTAAAGGGAAGGAAATAACACAAAGTTGGGATTGTGTGGGGTTTTTTTTGGGGGGGGGGGGAGGAGGAGGGGATTTATTTTCTTCACTTCCATTGGTAACATGACAGCTTTTGTGAGATTCGTGCAGCCATCACGGCGTACGGCCGTACCAGGAACGGGGTTGGCGACACAGGCGCAGCCCAGAGGTCGCAAACAGGTTTTGATTCCTTACCCGTACCCGGCCGCACCAGGGTCGCAAATGGGTACCCGTTCCCTACCCGTACCCGTACCCTACCCGAAATGAGTGACAAACGGTTACTCACCAGTGACTCACGGCCTACCCGTACCCGTACCTGGCCGCACCAGGGTCGCAAACGGGTATCGGGTACCTGGTTGCGACCTCTGGCGTAGCCGCTGTCTGGTCAGGAGATTGGGGCAGCCCCCCTTGAGGTGGTTGTCCAATTGCATTAACGCTGATGATGCAACTTGCATAGAGGCCGCGGCCCCTCGAGCACTCCCTCAACTAGAACCACTCTGAGGCTATGTCTGAGTTTGCTATTGACATTAACAAACAAAAACAATTGGTATCCGTTTGAAATAAATGTGGCCAATTTTATGGCGGGGGGACTACAGAAATTCCGTAGACCAAAGTCCGAACTCGTTGCTCCTGGCTTCTGGGAAGAGGGATAATTCTAGATTTGAAGCTTTCGTGACTGCAAGGATTCATACTCTTAGTTTTTTCGGTAAAGTCACGTAGGTAAAAACTTAAATTAATAAAAATAAAATAATAAAAATCACGACGTTTTGGAGGCAACACAAGTCTCCGTCATCAGGTGGGACCGTCACAGCCAGATTAGCTGCATCAAGTGAGGCAATGATTCAAGATGTAATCCCTTAAATGCAAGTTGAGGGGGGAGGAGAGGGGGGGGAGCTCATCATAATGTGGTAGCCAATGAATGGAACGTATCGGGAGGGAGGGGGGCGGGGCTAAAAGAAGACACAAAGTGCTACGTTCCATTCATTGGCTACCACATTCTGATGAGCTCCCCCCCCCCCCTCTCCTCCACCCTCAACTTGCATTTAAGGGATTACATCTTGAATCCCTGCCTCACTTGATGCAGCAAATCTGGCTGTGACGGTCCCACCTGATGACGGAGACTTATGTTGCCTCCGAAACGTCGTGATTTTTATTATTTTATTTTAATTAATTTTAATTTCTTTTTTACCTACGTGACTTTACCGAAGAAACTAAGAGTAAGAGGGATAATTTTCAATTTAAAGCTTTCGTGATTGCAGGGATTCATCTTCTTGGTTCTTTCGGTAAAGTCACGTAAAATGGAAATAATAAAATAATAAAACAAAACATAATAAAATAATTCTCACGACGTTTCGGTCTGTCGAGAAGGCCTGGGGTATGTCATTCAGACGCTGTCTTCTCGACAGACCTGTTCTTCACCTGAGGACGGCTGCTTGCGTTGTGGCCGAAAGGTCGTGGGAATTATTTTATTATGTTTTATTTTTATTATTTTATTATTTCCATTCTACGTGACTTTACCGAAAGAACCAAGAAGAAAAAAATTGGTATCCGTTTGAAATAAATGTGGCCAATTTTATGGCGGGGGGATTACAGAAATTCCGTAGACCAAAAGTCCGAACTCGTTGCTCCTGGCTTCTGGGAAGAGAAATAATGTTGGGCTCACTGCCCCACTCACGTAGTAGGGACTGCGAGAATCAGGAGTGTCGTTGTTTTATTACACGGGGAAGGGACGACAAGGGAAGGGGAACAAAAGTAAAGGAAAAATGTGGTAAGTGGGGGGCCAGAATCCGATCTCGTACTCACACTGGCCTTCTTCGATAAGCGGAAGCTTGAGAAAGGCAGGGATCTTCCTCAGATACCGGACTGTGAAGGTGACCTCATCGCCGGCAGTCTGCAGCACTTGTACCTAATGGCACCACAGAGGGCTTGGAGTGTTTAAGTGCTACGCTAATGACAGCTTACCATTTTACACGTTATTTATTTATTTGCTTAGTCGACCGAGGAAGGCCATACCGATCATTGTCCACAATTTTAGGTAGAGTCCTGCTTGGCCGATTCTTTTTTTTTTGGAGAATAGAATGGCTGACAAAGACACTGCTATTTGTGGGAATAAGCATCAGAGCTGGGGCTGTGGCATTGGAAGCGATAGGCAACGATGGCTATACCGTACTAATGGGGATGAAATTGGTAAATATTTACTTTGTCCTTCTGCTGCCTGTCTTCGTTAAAAATGCCACATTTCTTTATTGAGAGCGAGTGCCCATCAAAATTCTGCGTGCAGATTGTGGGCATAAATGTGTGATGTCATCTTCGTATTCAAAGGATGCAAGGATCCCTGTTATGTTGTGCTGTTTAAGACAAATTTCGTGTATCCATTATTTTGGAGAGATGTAGCAATTTTGAATGTTATTTTCTAGTCACTTTACTACATTGACGTTCTTTTGTTATCCATACATCATATTTATGAAGGCAACATAATCCATGACTCATTTTCCATCGCAGATTTTTTTACATGCAACATGCCTTTCATTATAATATGAGTTGAACTTAAACTAATACCATTTTACCGACGTCTGAAAGTGCACCATAAAACTTACCACTTCTTCATGTGTTGCGTTTTCCACATTGATGCCATTTATCTGTTTGAAATATAAAACATTCATTTGGTTTGAAATAGAGTCACAACCCAATGTGTGGGATAAGATGTCGACCTTGAAATGGCTTAGTAATATTTTGGATAGTTCCCAACGCTGTATATACATCAACTTATCTAAATCTACTTTTAAGAAGCCATACATGTGTTGAGTAGTTCCAACGGACGTACTCGTAGACGGAGGTAAGTTAAGGGGTTCCGCCAGGGTTTATTAAAGCTTATCAATAATACACAGCAGGGTACACAACTCCCAGGGGCTAGGGGTCCTACTCTGAGTCCGGGTCCCTGCCGGCTAGCTCCGGTCTCTCTCTCTCGTGTCGGATCGTGGACTCTGTCGACTCCACCGAGCGGAGAGAGAAGCACCTCTACGGCTACCACCGGCTTCTCCCCAGACTCCCTATTCGATCCCTCTCTATACCCCTGGTTCCCTCTTCACCCTGTTTACTTTACCCGTTCCCACAGTGACCCGCTTACGTCACGGGGTCTCCCTTAAGTACCCTAGGAGACGTGACGTCATCGCACTGAACGGCACACCTGACGTCACGTCCACATTTTACTCCTCTACACATGGTAAAAGGAAGAGGTGCAGCCCTGCAATTGCTTGCTCAGGCTACTGCTGGCAGAAGGCCCTACGCTAGCGGAGCTCTTGTGAGCCCTTCTAGAGGGAACATCGGCCTAGTCTCCTAAGCTGACTAAACATCTTGCAAGCAGAAGTGAAAGTAACCACTCTTTACCCCTCCACACGCAGCCCGCTGGTCGACTAACTGCCGTCGACCGAATTATACTGGGTGGATAGAAATCCATAGATATGTTCAAAGGCTATGTAGAAACACCACTGGCACTTGGGGAAAATTGCAACGTATCGCTTTTAAGCAGGTATAATCAATCAGTGCAATAATTGTACATTACAAAAAAAACAACACTAAAATGAATATAACATGAATCAGTTTTTTTTCTTTCTCCTCGGGAATCACAACAATTCATCAAAATGGAAATGGAAGGTATTACTCACTCTCAAAATAGCATCGCCAATAAACAGCATTCCTGTTTGGTCAGCTGGATTTAAAAGAAAAATGTACATGATTTAACTTATAGAGGTAACAACACATTGTCTTGCAGTCAATTGCATTCTTTCTAATATATGTATTATTTTAATTAATTTTAATTGTCAAATATATTTTGGCTTGCATAGTCTTTCCAATTTCTAGTAGTTACGATTCAACTTATTTTGCACGTACATACATATACACGTGTTCGTGGTGGTTAGCGATTCCCGCTCATAGCCAACACCAGTGGCGATTATCTGAACCGGTAATGGGCCTCCCCTAGGTCGTCTCAGCCATAAACAATTACCTAGTGCGATGTGTAAACGTCGCTACTCAGGAGACAAAGGCGGCCGAGCGTGGTGCTGGCCACCCACCCTCTCGTGTGTCATGCCGGCCTTCATAGGTGCTACTCGCTAAGAGCACTTGGAGCCACTTGCCCCAACAGTCTGTGAAGGCTATCGGGGGCATCTTTGTCTTTGGTAAAGTCACGTAGGTAAAAAATTTAAATTGATGAAAGTAAAATAAAACAAAATAAAAAATCACGACGTTTTATTTTATTTTTATTAATTAAAATTTTTACCTACGTGACTTTACCGAAAAAACCTAAGAATATGAATCCTTGCAGTCACGAAAGCTTCAAATCTAGAATCTTTGTCTTTGTGATATATTAGAGGGGCGATGGCACGGTGGTTATGGCACTGCGCTACTAACCGGACTTCCCTTGCTAGCCATGGCTCTCATCAGCCCTCGAGACTAGTTAGTGTGGTGTGTAAACATTAGTACTGCGGTGATGCTGGCCGCATCACCCCCTCGTGTGCCATCAACGCCTTAATCTCACCTCGCTAACAGTATTTTCTATAACTGCCTACACGGGGGGTAAATTTCGTTGCTATATGTGCTATTTAAACCGTAAAAAAAAAAAACTTGCTGACTGCCAAAAGTACGTTTCTAATGATGCGATTTCGTTTGCCGATGAACGAGTATTCAACTAATGCCCAACTTTTACTAAATTAATTCGTTCGGATCACTATTTTAAATAAGTGGCACGGTTGTGAAAATAGTTTTGGCTTGTCGCAACGTGTGGTGTTGTATGAGTTTGTTGTTGTTGTTGCATAACACCTTGTTACAATATAATGCGTGTTTATCACTGGCATCGCGCCTTTTACAGCCCTGGCAATTTTCACATACAGGGTGTCACATACATTTATTTCGTAGTTAAAACACATACACACATATATATATGTATTCCCCACAGTGTTAAGATGCATTCAATAGATACGAATACGAGGTTTTAATTTACTACTATAATGAGCCAAGGATGTCTGTGTGTCCCGCGCGTGACGTCACTCCACGTCGGCCAGCCCCCCTCATTAATAATCATGAGCATGTGACGTCACTCCACATGTAGCACCCCCCCTCTCATTAATAATCATGAACATGTGACGTCACTCCACATGTAGCACCCCCCCCTCTCATTAATAATCATGAGCATGTGACGTCACTCCACATGTAGCACCCCCCCTTCATTAATTATAATAAGCAGGTGACGTCACTCCACATTGAACAGGCCCTCTCATTAATAACCATTATAAGGTGACGTCTTCCAAATGGAAATCCCCCCTCTCCATTCATAATAATTAGCGGGTGACGTCACTCCACATGGGGGGTGAGGCGCCTCCTCTCCCCTCCTCGGCGTCAACTCACAACCCTCACTACAAATGCAGAACCCTCACGTCACGTGATCTCCGCTATTGAGACATCTGAGTAAAAAGGACGTCATGATGAACAAGGGATTATAACCTTAAAATTAAATAAGTCTGTGTCACCGCGCCCTTACAAATTGCACACGAATTGATGCAATGAATATATCACGTCGCTTTTCGCTTGCAAGTTTCATATTTACTGCAATACACCCGTCCTTTGACGGGCAAAAGGCTGGTAGTAGTCAATATAATCAGAACAAACATTGCTATTTTCAAATCAAGATTGTTATTTTGTCAATGCTTGCAAAGAGTTTGAATTTACCTGCCTGGTCTTTCATGATTTTGGAAATCACCACTGGAACCCTGTATTCAGCTCCTCCCTGTTTAAAGAGACATTTGTACAAACATGTTTAATTAACGTATGCAGCAGTTGTGTCTGTACATCATAGCGCGCGCACACATATGTTTTCCTAAACTAAAGGAAACCTGATAATTGTTTTTTTACCCTTCTATCTGGCAACAAAACTGACACCTTTTTACAAGGAGTCATGTTTGCATAGACCACAATACCTGCAGTCATAATGCAAACAAAATACATAACTCTGATAATGTGCACTGTCCTTGAAGTTGATTGGTCCAATCCATGTGAGACTAGGCTCTAGAGAAAGCTGTCTCGGGTGTGGACCAATCAACTTCAAGGACAGTGCACATTATCAGAGTTATGCCTTTTGTTTGTATTATGACTGTAGGTATTGCGGTCTATGCAAACATGACTCCTTGTAAAAAGGTGTCAGTTTTGTTGCCAGATAGAAGGGTAAAAAAACAATTATCATATTTTTATTGGCAAATGAGGTTCCCATGGTGTAAAGGAAACCTGTTATTGTTATGCTTCATTTTGTTTCGTCTGTGATACTGCATTGGCAGTAGTGCACGAGCTCAAAAAACAACGCTTTGACACATTCGTCACGCCACTGCTTTCAAATTTAAACAAAAATTAAGCAACGTTACGGGCAATGGACCTCCTCTATACACGTGCCACGAGGAAGGGCCATCCCACCCCCCTCCCCCCCAAAAAATTCGACTATTATATATGTCCACTATAGAGGAGAGTTATTGATGAATGTGTTGAGTCATTGCTGAAAATGCAACGTTCATTCCATACGCAATTCAAAACAACGGCTGCATTTGGTGGCGTTGCGCGATCTCCCACGTTGATATGTGACGTCCCAGCGGCGCTCGTGACACCGTGTCAAGCTGTGTGTCGTTGTGTATTGGTGTTTATTGCGTTGCTGCCCGTAGGACCTCACTCCATCTCGGAGGTGGACCTATTCTGCTACGTATAATGGAGCTGCCATTTCAGCAGCTGCAGTGTTGACACCACCACACCATGCAGTTCGGAATTATTATTTTTATTAATTTCCGTGAGCAAAAAGAAAATACGCGTTGAAGTTTATACGTTTACGCCAGAACACTATGTGCCTGCTGCACGCTTTGAAAATAAACACATACCTTGATGCTTAGTCCAAAGCCCCCTATTTCTTGTCGACGTAAAGTCACGCTTCGCTCCTAAGGAAACAAAAAAAAGTGTAATTTTTAAATCCTTAATATTAAGTTCGCTTGCTTGCTTGCTTGCGTGCTTGCTTGCTTGCTTGCGTGCTTGCTTACGACCGTGCAAATCGTTCGGTCGTTTTTTTAACCCACTTCCCGTGATCCAATCGAGCTGACATTTTGCACACAGACTCGTTGTGCGTGACAATTAATTTTCGTGAAAATTGTTCCCAACATTTTACACTGTTTATGGATTTTTTAAAAATATTTAATCACCAATTGCTTAATGGTGGCAGACAATCATCTGACCCATAGGTGGCAGCCATCTCAAGCCAGAGGACGAGAGGACTCTAGCCGCCCCGATGCCAGATTTATAGTGAAAAACTTTGTTTTTACGGGTTAATTTTAACAAGTTTGGCTTTCAGTGGAACTTCAATTCATAAATGCCTCGTTGGTTACTCTTGAGATGTGACACGTGAGCACCAGCTGTTTTTAAATATTTTTTTACCAAGTTTAAATCCTTTGTCGTTATCGTCAGTCATGCTCGACACACTGCTGCCTCCCCAAGCCTTTATCATCTATCTCTCTATCTCTCTCTCCTGTGATATAACAAGCCACCTAGCACGTACACACGAGTTGCTTTCATTGCTCCATCTCCCCAGTCGACGTTATCTCAGACGCGTTCCATTCCTTGGCTGTCACTCCGGCACTATGTTCGACAACTGACCAAGTTTAAACAGTCTGGATAAATTTGACTCAAAGCATAGGTGGTGCAAGGGTTGGTGGAGGTGAGGTCATGGGGTTAATCATCTCCATCTGTGCAGACTTTGGGATGAACAATGGACAAACATTAGAATTCACTTTGAAGGGAAGCATAAGTCAATTTACTTAATTTTAAAAGCATATATTGTGACATACTACATTTAAAAAAGTCAATTTTTCAAATACAATTTTGATATTATTAAACATTTAAAAATGGCAGCGTGCAGTAGAGAGATGCTGTAGCCAAGATGATTAGTAAAAAATTTACCCGTAAAAACAAAGTTTTTCACTATAAATCATTTATATGCGTGGCATCGGTTTTATTTTATAATTCATTTCTGTTTTTCTTGAGTAAGAGTTTCATTTTTATCACATTGGTATTTTAAATTAAATATGAAAATTATTTTTCCATAAAAGTGGAAAATTTTGGAAAAAAAATTTCACGAAAATAAATTGTCACGCACAACGAGTCTGACTAATTCGGGGATTGAACCGTGCATATGAAGGTTAAGCCGATGCTCATGTCCTATCTCCTTTGCAACAACTCTTCTGCACAACAGGCACTGTTTATTTTTAATACTTTTTACATTTTATCTTTACCACTTTCTTTCAACAAATAGGATCACAACCAACGGGGATGATACCAATACATTACAGCGACATCAGTAAAACCATTTCTGTCCCTGTCCAAGTTGTGATTGTAGTACTACAATATGTGGCAGCAGGGATAAAAAGATGAGATATTTGGTGTTCTTAACAAACACCAAGGGTAGGCAAAACTGTCATATCACATGACGCGTGAAAATTTTATGAAAGCGTGCGTAGTCAAAGGATCCCACTCCCTCTTCAACTCCTCGACGTCTTAATCAACGGAAGAGCTCAAGTTCTGTAGCATTGTGGCATCAAACGTTTTGGCAATTTTAGTTTGTAGTGCTGGCACTTTGTGGTCGTTCCAATGCCACTGTAGTACAATATGTACCTGGAAGTGTCCGTTGATTTTACAACACATGAGCTGACGTGAGGTTGATGAAGAAACTTGTGGTGTGGGATTGAGTGAAGGTTCGCTCACACTCAGTTCAAATTTTTAGCTATCTTTCAATAAAGCTATTGCACATCTGGACACAGCCAAAATCTTGTGTTCATATGGACACGAGTTTTCCCTGAGGACTTCTAGAGCAACAGGCATCGATCAGAGTGCAATAATTAACTCCGCATGTGTTAGTATGGTATACTCCATGCAGGGATTGAAACGGAGTCAGCCTTAACTGTGACAGCTCAAACTCTCTACCCCTTGCTATGAGACAAGGCAGGACATTATTCCACTCTGCAAGGATAGTAACTGTGTGCTGAATGTATTCCACGTGTATGGTGCATGGAGTATTATATAATATTGGGATGTTGTCGTTTAGGCTTGGTCCCTCAAACCGTCTTCGAAGAGGAGAGGGTGTTTGTCATTAAATCCTTTATATTAAGTTCACTTGCTTGCGTGCTTGAGTGCTTGCTTGCTTGCGTGCTTGCGTGCTTGCTTGCTTGCTTACGACCGTGCAAATCTTTCGGTCGTTTTTTAACCCACTTCCCGTGATTCAATCGAGCTGACATTTTCCACACAGACTCGTTGTGCGTGACAATTAATGTTCCTGAAAAAATTTTCCCCAAATTTTACACTGTTTAGGGAATTTTTAAAAAATATTTAATTACCAATTGCTTAATGGTGGCAGACAATCATCTGACCCATAGGTGGCAGCCATCTCAAGCCAGAGGACGAGAGGACTCTAGCCGCCACGCATATAAAGGATTTATAGTGAAAAACTTTGTTTTTACAGGTTAATTTTTTTCTTAAGGTCAGCAGTGTCACTTTAGCCCAGTGTTCTTCACCCACGTTCGGAAGGGGGAGTGGGCACTTTCGCCGATAAGACATCAGTGTGAGGGCCGCCACACATTTGAAACAATTGGAGTTTGAGAACACGACGGGGGGTGTTGTCACGTGTTGTGTATTTGTCGGGGGGCTGCACGTCAGAGGCCGCACTAAAGGCCATCAGCGGCCGCCAGCGGCCCATGGGCCTTGCAATGAAGACCACTTCTATAGCTCCACTTTCCAATCGCCACTCCCCCACCCTCCTTATGCATCTCCTACCTGCCTTGCCCCCCACCCCCTCGCTCCACAGAATCAGTTAACCCTCATCGCTTGTAAAATATTGCAATCACCATCAATTACTCAAGGTAATGGTCAGCTGTTGTGGCCCAATACGACAAAGAGCGATGTTGCATAATATCGTAAATGTGACCCTGCTGGATTAACTCACTTTGCCGCTGCACTGGCTGCCAGTGACACACACCACCTCTTGGTGCTGGATGGTCAGGAGGTCCTTGGAGATTTTCAGCCGTACCTCGTGTGGTTCTGATTTCCCATCAATGAGCAGCACAATGCCAACTTTAGTCTGCGAGAGTGTGACACAAATGAAAGAGATAACGAGCGAAAATCATTAAAGTTGTTCGTCTGAGCATTTTTAGTTTGATCTGAAAGGTTAATGTGTCTGACTCCTATAAATGTACCACAACAACTGACTGTTAAGTCACTCACGTGAATAGAAGTAATGAGAATCAGGACAAGTTTCTCCCACATCAGAAATAACTGCAATACTCCGGCAATTGCTTTATGCTGGAATCTGCTAACTGAATTGATACATAAATGGGTTTCCTTGTACATTATATTTTTATATAAGCGTTCCAATAATAGTACAGCAATACGTGAAGCATACGATTGACAATTTGATTGACATGCCGTTAAAAATAGCCTGTTTGCTATGAATTGCTATAAGCAAGTGCAATAACATTTAAATAACAAAATAGAATAAAAAAATACCAATAAATAGTATCTTTCAACACAGTTGCTGAGCACAAGACCAAAGGTTCAAAAAGCCAAACGGCCAGGAACAAAAAAATCACCATTAGAAGTGCAATAGATGAGAGTCAATACGCTTCTTTTAATTTATACAGATTATGCTAAGTTGGGAAAACGGACAAACGGGAGAGAGAATTTCAAAACCGAGGAGCATGATGAATGAAGCAATCTGGGAGGTGGTTAGACCAGCTGTGTGCTTAATTGAACACAGGCGAGGATGAGATGAAACAGTCAAATGTGCAGAGATGTTTCCTGACTTTTGTCGGGGTTTCATTTGAAGGTAATCTGAAAATAATGTCAATGCCCCGTGGATTAAATGGCGCACATTACAGCTGAACGCGACGCCATTTAAATAATCCGAAGTTCACTTGTGAGGTTTTGTTTTAGCTCCACAAAGCAGCTTTGCGTGGAGCACATACACATGTAACACAGAACAGAATGCTATCGTTGCTGGCTGATAATGCCACAGAGTGGACCATGTTGTTTCATTTATAAGTAAATTAAAACAAACGGTTCAACAAAGTTAGTTTCTTTTTAGTTAGATCGTGCAACATCCATTTGCGACTATCACCCTCCGTCAGCCGACAGAGTCACTCGAATCAAGTTGCCACGTGGAACTTTTAATGAAAAACTGTCGAAATTTTGCTCGATTTTCAACTTTCCGGTTTTGTTGATGAACTAAATCAATTGGCGCATTTGTCCACTTGTGGCATCGTGATGGTATTGGCTCTATTTCGATTTAAAGCTTTCGTGACTACAGGGATTCATCTTCTTGGTTCTTTCGGCAAAGTCACGTAGAAGGGAAGTAATAAAATAATAAAAATAAAACATAATAAAATAATTCTCACGACGTTTCGGCCACAACGCAAGTAGCCGTCCTCAGGTGGATTGGCTCTGTCGGGTGGTAGAGGGTTATTATTAAAATACTTCCACTATACCTACAGGACCTAACCCAACATAAACTAATTTTGAATTGATTATATTGGTCGTAAAAGCCTACAGTATAAGATTAAAGTGAGTTTTATCGTTAACGCTGATATATAAACATTGAATAAAGCAATACGTATTCTTATTTGATAAACATCATTCAGTTTCATCTTCTTGGTTCTTTCGGTAAAGTCACGTAGAATGGAAATAATAAAATAATAAAAAATAAAACATAACGAAACGTCGTGAGAATTATTTTATTATGTTTTATTTGTATTATTTTATTATTTCCATTCTACGTGACTTTACCGAAAGAACCAAGATGAATCCCTGCCGTCACGAAAGCTTTAAATCGAAATAATTTAGTTTATGAAACAAGTTCAGACAATAAAAGTCCGTTCTGTAGCTAGTGTCTGAGGTATTGTTCTTTAGTTTACAATGTTTTGCTAATTTATGCTGGAATCGTTGCACACATCACGTTTTGTAAGTTGTCTGCGAGGATTCCTGCTTCAGGATGAGTATTTTCAAAGACGCAAACATCAGCAAATGAGAGAACATCTGCAATGTACGTGGATAATGGGTTTCATTGATTTGTTTTGCGAAGGTGTAAAACGGTATCAACCAGAAACTGCGTGACGGGACTGTGTGAAAGGATTGCTGGGCAAGCAAAGTGATGCTTAACAAGTTCAGTAACAAGCAAAACACATATATGCATAGTCATCAACTACACAAACACCAACACTATGCAATCACCATTAACTAATTATGTCAGATACATTTCATTTCAGATGTATGCTTCAATATACTTGGTATTGCGTACGTATTCGATTTTATAATATACATGATAGCCTTTCCCACATTTTGTGTTATCATATTATTATCAAATCACACAAAAGTAGAATGTATTATAAAAGCAATGTCAAAAAAGACTGATTTCACAACCATACTATGCGGCAAATATGCCACTTAAAATGTTGTTTTCCATAATACAAACATACATTGCAGTTTTCCCGTGATTGTAAGCCATTATAAATATAGCTCTAAGATTGCTCAAGAGGTGTAGTTTTGTACAGCATGCTGAGAATCTCATTATGATTTTGTTGGCTGGATTTAATAAGTTGTTCAGCATTATGCTACCCCTGACAGTCTGCATTAAATGTAATGCAAACAATACAACTTTAAAAAAACAACACGCCCCAAGCAGAGGTTGAATGTAATTGGTAAGAATGCACCAATAATATAATAATATATTCTGAAATATGTACTGCACGTAAATATAGAATTACATTTCTAAAGGCCATAAAATATTGTTGATTTAATCGTTGACTCATTTTCTTGCAGATATCTACATATATAAACATATAATTGGCATGCCTCATCTTTACACTATACAATTATATTTTTATTATCTGTACCGGCTGTGGCATATCAGAGTGGAAACAATACCGCGCGGCATGCGATATTGTGTTCACTTTATTTTATTTTCTACGTAACTGGCTTCAAACAATGTGGAGATCGCAAAATGTGCCCAAAGCACACCACAGCGCACCCACATTGTACAAGATACATCAAGAAAATACCTGTATTAACACGTAGGGTTCCACAACCAATATGAATCATCATCATAGATTTGTTTTGGTTAGGCCACGTAATATATTGACTAAAACTGTATCGTAAGACCCCTTCCCACCCTACGCGGCCAAGCAAACACAATTGTCACGTGCACAAGCATGTATGGAACCAAATATTTAAATATACAAATGTGTCTTCTTGGTTCTTTCGGTAAAGTCACGTAGAAGGGAAATAATAAAATAATAATAAATAAAACACAATAAATTAATTCTCACGACGTTTCGGCCACAACGCAAGCAGCCGTCCTCAGGTGAAGAACAGACGCTGTCTTTCCGACAGACCTGTTCATCCAGCAGTGGATTGGCATAGATGTGCGCAATATTAAAAGCAAAAGCAACAACGGATATTACACAAATGTATGGAATTAAGTAAATTAGAGGTTACAAAATGTAATGCTAGAACAAACAAACATTTAAAAAAAAGTCAAGCTGCCACATTATTCAACCTAATGTATTCAAGGGGCAGAATAATCCTCTTTACTTTCGTACTTCAACCTTATTTGTTGCGGTTGCAGTCAATAACCGTTTACCAAATTTAAAGATAGATTGAGTGAGCCTGCAGCTAGAATTAAGCAGGCGCAGAGGTCCCTGCCACACCGCTTTCATTCTGCAGAGAACTGCAGCCAGATTTAAATTGCTATTAAAACCTCTGAGACCCAGCCACAAAAGGCACAATGTGCTACATTTTTGCAGGAATGGCATTTCTATTTAAAAAAATATAGAGTTCTCAACGAAATTATGTTATTCTTGAATTGCCTGGTCTGTTGTGGAATGCTATGCTATCATTGTATGTTGATTCGTGAAATGCTCACTAGATTCGCTTCGTTTGGTTTGTAAATGTACCAATTCTTTTTTCAGGAATGACTCCTTTAGGCTAAAAATGTGATGTCACTACCCAACAAGCAGAGCATTGTACTTCATTGATTTATTCAATGATTTCCAGAATGGTACACACAGCGGGTAGTCTGCTGACACTGGCTAAATGCAGGAATGGAAGCTCACTTTGTGAGTTTTATTCCTCCTGCAAATTCCATCCGGAGCTGATTATTACATTTCATCGGACTGATGCGCAAGACTTCGGTGGTACGACCATGTGATGCGAAGTGAAGAGTCATCAGTGGCCAAGACTGCCGTGTGTATTGAGCCAGAGGGCCGCCGTCCACGCGGACGTCCGAAGAAGCGATGGATGGACCGAATAAAGGAAGACATGAAGACGGTCAACGCATCCCCTGAAGATGCCCTGGACCGAGCCAAATGGAGAAGACAATGCCGAAAACCGGACCCTGCGCCACAGCGGGAACAACGCTAGGAAGAAGAATCGGACTGATGCGCATACATAAGCAGCGTCGACATCTGCGCAGGGCGAGCAAAAAAAAATCCTGGGACATCTGGACGTTGATATTGAGTTTGAGCCAGTGGCTCTGCTACTCCATAGACGGTTGCAAGAATACATTATATGGGGTTGCTTCACGTCACTGCAAATATTATTATGTACATGATACACAGCGTAATTATTTCAAATTGTGTGAAACTGTGGCGTTAAGAGACTGATTATAATTAACGTAGTTTTCATTGTGTTATCTTAATGAGTTTTATTTATATTAATCAAAAGGATTCGAGTTTGATTTTGTGTATTTCCATGAATCAAGGTCATATTGAGCTGTTTGGAGCCCTAAACGTTTTGTTTTTTGTTTGCTTTTGCCTAATGCCAGCACTGCAATTAGGGCATAGCTATCTTTGCGTCTCTCAAACAAAAATCCACCAGCTGTGTGTGGGCATGCACCTCCGATTAGCACGGTTGGCTGCGTACGGTGCGAAAGAAGTTCATCGTGACACACATGTTACAGATAACAGACACTTTTAACGTACGTGTTAACAGCTTCTCCAAAATAATTGTACTTATTTAGTGTTAATTAAGCACATTTAGATTGTTAAGTGGTGGTAAAGGGAACTGAAAATTACATTTTTATTCAGTTCC